TAAAGATAGTATAATATAAATTTTCTTTAAATTTGTAATTTAAATATAAAATAAAAAATATCTTTTATAAAAGTAAGAATATATTAATAATAAAAAGATTACAAAGCATCTATAACCGCCCTACATAAGAGGAAAAGCAAAACCTATAAGCAAAAATTATAATTACACCCTGAACTAACCAAGTTAAAGCATCTAAATGACTAATAATCAAATACCTACACTAATATGGTAATTAAACTCAAACTCAAGATATAACAATTAAATTTCATTTCAATATAATCCATTTAAACATAAGATATTAGCATAAAATATAATTATGAGCAACAACAAGGTTGTAAGACATAGAAAGATTACTTTTGAACATCTTCAACTACTAGATAATTTCACTTTTTGTACCAACTTTAAAGCAAGCAAACAACTTGATTGTACGATAATTCCCTTTCACTATATTGCCCTGTAAATATGAATATTCCATTAATCAGAGGCCAATCTTCAGAAATTAGTACCTTCCTTTTTCCTTTTTTATATGGCCATATAATTTTTTTTTGGACAAGACACCTTCCAATGGAATTCTGAAACCAAAATCCTTCAAAAATTCAAATGAGCAAACAGAACACCTTAATAGATCTACCCCACCTAAACTAGTATAGGTATTCACAAAATCAACGTTCTGAAACATGATTACAAGGAATACTTTTATTCAATTGAAACTTGGGCCTGTGTGGTGCAGGTTGTGGGAGTTTTAGCTTTTGGACACTATTTATGTTTCATGAATTTAAATTTTCCTCTTAAAAACTTACACTTTTAAATATTTTTTTAACCTCAAAAAACTCTTAAACAGTAAAAGTTTAAAAGTTTCAAATCCAAACTTTTCATAAACTCCATTTTTACTTACTTTTCACTTACTTTTTCACCTTTCTAAAAGTTAAAACTCTATTTTTCCTTTAATAAAAATTTAAACTTATCACTCATAACAGTACTAAAAAAGCTAAAGCTCCCACAAACCACACCAAACAGGCTCTTAGAGTTTGTTTGATTTGCGAGAGTCTGTTTGTTTTGTGAAAAATATATATCTCTCTTTTGAAATATATTTTTCAGGGAAATTACTTTTTTTTCTATAATAAATATTTTTCTTTGTTTGGATTACTTAAGAAAACTTTTTACACAAAACATTTTT